CTCAGTAAACTCAATGAAAATTTGTTGAATAAATGAATTAAAGCTTCTTAGGGTTACTGCCATGCCATCGTGTCAGCTAATTCTCAAGATAAACTGAACTGGCAACTACTTATTCTGCATTTATTTCATTGGTTTGAGTATTATGCAAATAAGCAAGTAAGGACAAGAAATATTGGTAAAAAAAATTATATGAAATAAAATACAATAAGTACTTGAATACAGAATTGCAATATTGTTAATCACAATACTCAGATGTCCAGCTGCTATGTAAAAGTGAGAAGGCAACCAATCAATCAACACCTTATTGATTAGCAAATGATTCTTGAGGGCTGTATGCATGCAGGGTATTGTGCTAGGTGCTGGGGACATACCGTGAAACACCATCAATGGTGCCTGAAAGGCTGATGGATTTCAAAGGTGGGCACAGATAAGACACATTAAGAAGGGCCTTACAGGTAAATGGAAGACATTAGCAACTCAGTTTCTGGGGGTCACATCTAGGCCTATGGCAACATGATTCATCTTATTCTACTTCTATGGTTATCTCCATAAATAACAATCAGGAGTTAAGATGTCAGAGGAGTGGAGGACCCTACATTTCTCTGTTCCCTCAAATACAGCTAGTTATTAAACGCTTCTGAACACCTGTAGAATCAGTCAGCAATCTGAAAAAAGAAATGCAGCATTTCTACAAATAGAAAAGTGGCTGCTTTTTGGAAGGTAGGTGCAGAGACTTAAATATGGGGTGATATATCAGATTGTATAATTAAAACGTTTAGAAGTCTGCTACAGTTGGGGACATCTTTGGCTTAAAGATGCTCAGGGGGTGAAGTGTGGTGGAATCCCAAGTGGGGCAGTGTGGTCTCAGGATCCCAGGGGTCACAAGAAGAATGGGATGCTGAGTGCAGCAGAGTTCCCAGTAGGGAACCTTAACATCCCACTTGCAGCAATGGATAGATCATCTAAGCAGAAGATCAACAAGGAAAGAAGGGCTTTGAATTGACACACTGGACCAGATGGACTTCACATATATTCATAACATTTCATCCTAAAGTAACAATACACATTCTTCTTGAGCACACATGGAACATTCTCCACAATAGATCATATACTGGGTCACAAATCAGATCTCAACCAGTACAAAAAGACTGAGATTATTCCATGCACATTTTCAGACCATAATGAAACCTGAAGTCAACCACAAGAAAAAATTTGGAAAGACCACAAATACATGGAGGTTAAAGAACATCCTACTAAAGAATGATGAGTCAACCAGGAAATTAAAGAAGAATTTTAAAAATACACAGAAGCAAATGAAAATGAAAACACTACACTTCAGAATTTTTGGGATACAGCAAAAGTGATCCTAAGAGGGAAATATATTGCAATACAGGCCTTTCTCAAGAAACAAGAAAAGTCTCAAATGCACAACCTAACATTATACCTAAAGGAGCTGGAAAAGAATAGCAAACAAAGCCTAAATTCAACAGGAGAAGAAAAATAATAAAGATTAGGGCAGAAATCAATGATATAGAAATTTTAAAAAGCAGTAGAACAGATCAATGAAACTAGAAGGTGATTCTTTGAAAGAATTAATAGAATAAAAAAACCTCTAGCCAGACTTATCAAAAAGAAAAGAGAAAGGACCAAAATGAATAAAATCATGAATGAAAGAGGTAAGATCACAACTAAGACCAAAGAGCTATTTTTTATTTTAATATCTTTCACTGGCTTCTCATGGCCTATGGGATAAACTACAAGTGCCTGAGCATGAGTCTGACCCTGACCTCTATATATGCATACAACCTCATCTCTTGGTGTGTCCTGCCTTCAACCCTCAGCTACTGCAATGTTTACCTTGTTCTTTCTTCTTTCCTTCTCTTTGTGTGCAGTGTCTCCTCCATGCCTCCATGAATGATGCTCATTCTGTCCTCTTTTGTCCCTGAGTCCCTTTTCCATACCTCACCCAACTCCAGGCTTGATCAGGGTACTCTCTCTGCTGTTCCGATAAACTCTGAACATTACATCTCCTCCCATGCATTATTGTTTGTTCTTTGTGTCTCTTCTCCTCACTAGACTCTCCTCAATACTAGACACATAAAAAAGACAACCAATGTAAGTCTGTTGGGTAAAATGAATGTTTGGGCCATACTAGAGGTTAGAAAATCATCTTAAGTAACCAGAAAACTATAATCATCTAATATAGTTATCTACTTACTACCAGAAATGCCCACTAGCAAATAGGAAAGTAGAACAATTTTGCAAATAGGTATATATAAATGTGAACAGATTCTTCATATTCTGCTATTAGTTTTAATAAATTGTTGGAATTGTTAGTTCTTGTGGTAAATTTTTTCAGGAATATGCCAACTGGGGCTACTTAGTGTTTAATATTTTCTTATTTCCTAATTCCATGTTAGGGGGAGAAACTGTGTACTTGCTTCAGTAAATTGCTCTGAGTGCCTTATTCCTTTATGTTCACGACATGCACATAAGTGCACTTAGTAGGGATCCCTGAGTGGTTCAATCAATTAAGCAGCCAGCACTTGATTTCAGCTCAGGTCATGATCTCAGGGTCCTGGGATCAAGCCACACGTGGGGCTCCATACTCAGTGGGAGTCTGTTCCTCTCCTTCTCCTTTTGCCTCCCCTCATCCATGCTCTCTTTCTGAGATAAATAAATTCATCTTAAAAAAATAAGTACACTTAATAGATACTTCTTGCAGTGCTTGGTAAAAATGTTATTTTACAAGTCTGAGTTTCCAGGGTTAATCTTATTTATGGGATTAGTGCTTTATCCTCTTGTAGCTAATATAATGAAGTTTAAATTAGAACTATAAGTAAAACATATAGGGGCACCTGGGTGAGTCAGTCAGTTAAGCATCTGACTCTTGATTTCAGCTCAGGTCATGATCTTAGGGTTGTGAGATCAAGTCCTGCTTGAGAGTCTCTCTCTCTTCCTCTCCCTCCGCCCTCTGCTCCTCCTCCTTTCTCTCTAAATAAATAAATAAATAAATAAATAAATAAATAAATCATATATATAAAAATCATATTCAAGAATAAAGAAATAAATATAGAATATGAGACCCTAAAGGTCCTCTAGACCACATAACTTCTTCCCTTTAGAGATAAGGAACTGAGTGCCCAGGGGTAAATTATCATTCCCTGAGGCATCAGGATAAGACCTCTGGTCATCTGATTCTTACTTCAAGGTGAATGTGAATTTTAAAGCTAGAGGAAGTGTATTGAGACCTGACTAGTTTCTTTTTTCTTTCTTTTTTTTTTTTAAGATTTTATTTATTTATTCATGAGAGAGAGAGAGAGACAAGCAGAGGGACAAGCAGGCTCCCTGCTGGGAGCCTGATGCCGGACTAGATCCCAGGACCCCAGGATCATGCCCTGAGCCCAAGGCAGATGCTCAATCACTGAGCCACCCAGGCATCCCTAGACTTGACTAGTTTCAAGAAAGAAACTCGCCCACACCATCTTGGGTAAAGAGCTCATTCCTGAAGTTAAAGCAGTGCCCAGAGCTTTGCCATTGTGCCTGGCGATCACTGTTGCCTCTGCTGTCCTATGCCTTGCTCCTCCCGTCTCTAGGCAATGAGACCGATTGGGCCGGTGATTTGGTTGCCAACCACTAAGGAGCATTCCTTCTGGGAAAGCTGTTTAATATTAGATCCTCTTAGTTTTAGTCAAAGTAAGAATGTTTTAGGTCAATACATAAGGCTTTGTAAACCATATAGCAAGCTTAAGCAGGAAGAATTTTCTAAACTTCTGTGGAAGGAAAGCAGGATTTCAGGTAGGTGTAGGACTTTTGTGCTTCCTGGACCTTCCCAGAATGGGGAGTAAACATTTGGATGTATAGATATGGAATGGGAAAGGTGAACTAAATCACAGTGAAGCTCAAATTGAGTTAGTTTGCAAATGAAGAGTGGTAAATGTGCCCTTAGGAAACTGCCGAAAAATACTATGGCTTTTGGGCAAATCAATTAACACTATCAACCTCTGTTTGCTTATCTTTGAGTAAAGATGACAATAATACATACTTATCTTGCCTATTGTTGTGCATACCAGTGATAATGTATGGTAAATTACCATCACTATATAGGGGTTACAGGTAAGGTAACTGTTATTACTACTACAATACTCTAACTACTACTACTGTAATTATTTTTACTACCACTAATACATAAAACTACTTTTACTGCTACTATTGTTATATGATAGTAGTTAGTAATTGAGCGGTCTTCTCTGCTCAGTTAGACAACAGGAGGTGGGCTTTACAATTGATTTGCAAGAAAGTATAAAAATTCTTTATTGATGTGCAATGGTTAAGATCAGGGGCTTTATGAGGCCACAACATACTCCTTAGCTGTGAGATGTTAGACAAGTTATTTAATCTTGTGTGCCTCAATTATCTCATCTGTAAAATGAGGATAATAATACTTCCTATCACAACAAGCTCTTGTGAGGATTAAACAAGATAATCTAAGTACTTTTAGAATATTGTCCAGCATGCCATGAACATTTAATACACATTCCCTATTGGGCTATTAATGTATTAAATGTGCATTGGATCTTCATAGCTACCTAATGAGATAACAGGCATCATTATCTTTATTTGATATTTACTGAGATTGAAGCTATGATTTGTGAGGGCAGTGGCAGAGGTGCCAAAAGAGTTTCTCTCCCTTCTTTCCTTTCCTCTCTTCCTTTGACATATATTTATTTATTGTACTTGGATGGTACAGAATCATAACTGCCTTAGATGACTAGAATTTCGGACATCTGATTCCTTTTTCATTTTCTTCCTCCTACAGCCCCACCTCCATGCTTACTTACACTCTTGTCTTTTGCTACTAGTCTCTAGCTACTAGCTGTCATTTCCAAAGCCCCAAGTTTTCATTTGAATCTTCATGCTTGAGAAATCAATGGGGTCAAGGAAACAAGAACCAGTGTTTACATAAGTGTTTATTGGACTTCTCTTTATCATTTTTTCAGGTCTTGTAGAAATTTGCCTGATGCACCCCCTCGATGTGGTGAAAACCAGGTAAGGTTCTGCATGAACAAGTTTTATTGACTTTGGCTGATGTCCAAATTAAGATCTGTCAGAACACTAAATGCTAGAACTTGTCCTAGGCAAGGTAGCTTCTCCCGATAATGGCATTTATATTTACTTCTTAAAGAAAATACTATTTGACAGATAAAATGTGAACAGGGAAAAGCATTTTTGGATAGAGGTTGTCTAAAGGTATATGATATTTTACTGCCTTCACATGACAACCATAAGGTATGATTTATGGTTAAGCTGGTAAGTGAAGTAAATTTATCATAATGATGCAAAAACTAAACCTTAGTGAATTATGACAGCAGGCTTTCATTTGGCATTGCCTGTAACAGATTGCTATTTAATAGTCAGCATTTTGGTGAGAGACTCCAAAATTTCAAGTTAACTTCTCAAATGGTGCTTAAAGAATTTGTTCCTACAACCGTTTGCCAATGCAAAATGCAATATTTCTAGGAAAGTGGATTTGCTCTTAAGGGGTGACACAAATCAGGACAATGTACTACATCTATTTACCAAGTAACAAAAAATCATGTGGGTTTTAATATGATCTGGAGAACTTTTTTAAAAGTTAAATCTAACTGAATTACTGAACTCTCTATTTTTTTTAAAATTAGAAGCTGTTAGAATTGAGTGAAAGTTTCCATTTACTTGCATTGTATAAAACCGAAGATAACCATACCTAGGTTGGTGCTCCATAGCAAATAGTGCCTTTCAACAATGGTGGCTGAACAAATCAAAGTTAGAAAATGCTTGAAATGTCAGACTGATCATTGAATGGACATGTTGCTCAATTTACCTAAAGACGCGGCAGAATCTTAAGCTGGCTGCTGAAAGCAAGGGAAAGTGGCTGTAACATGCAAATAATATTACATTTTTAAAAGAGATAGAGGAGATGAGAATTTGGCCCCTGTCTTAGTCAGCTTGGACAGTTGTAACAAAATACTATAGACTTGGTGGCTTAAGCTACAGACATTTATTATAGTTCTGGAGGCTGAGAAGTCAAGGATCAAAGTGCAAGTGAGTTTGGTTCTTAGTGAAGTCCCACTTCCTGACTTATAAACAGCCACCTTCCTCTTATATCAAGCTCTTATTGTATCAGCTCTGCTGTCTCTCCCTCTACTTATAACAGCACTTATCCTATCACTGAGGCTCCACTGCATTTAACCTCATGACATCATCCAAACCTAATTACCTCCACAAAGGCCCCACCTCCAAATACCATTGCATGGAGGTTAGGGCTCTGATATATAAATTTGGAGGATGCAAATGTTCAGTCCATAACAGCTTCAAATCACCAAACCCAAACAGAGAAAGAAAACCACAAATTTCATTCAAATATACCATTGCATGAACTCCCTGGACCATGTTTTTATAGGGTTCAAAAACAGAAAACAAAGCACACTGGCCTTTCCTTCTTAGATTCCATGATAACTGAAAAGCCAGGATATTATTGCTAGCCTTACTAAGGAATAAATTGTCTTTTTTAAGGATAATTTCCTAAATTAGCAAAATGTTTGAATGAGCATAGAGGAGAAATAAGAATGATTTAAATAAGACATGATATTGAAATTACAGTTACTCATTCATTCACTTAATCATTCATTCATTCACTTATTAAGCATCTAGTGTGTGTGGGTTCCAAATGAACTGTCCTCAAAGAGCTCACAGTCTCAGTTAATAGGAATTTCATCACAATAAGTTTCAAAAACTGTATTATTTCATGGTGCTGGGTTTGAATGAAATATTTCTTGAAATTGATGTGCCACATTACTGGGGCTTTATATCTCCTTTGTTACATAGCTATTTTCCATGAAAACAGTATTAAGTGACTGGAATTAGTCACATGCTCTTGTCTAACTTCAGTGGGGAGGGAAAATATAATTCTTCCAGATGCCCTGAATAAGAAGGGAAATGGATATAGAATGGTATTTGGCCTGCATAACAATAAAAAGTATATTGAATAAAGACTCATAATCATAGAGTAAACTGAAAGTCTGAACTAACATGGAACTGACTTTGCAACAGAAGTAGAACGTGCAAAGATTAGTAGCATTTCTCACTGGGTACTAACAAACAGGTGATAGGGAGTGGACAGGACAGACTAGACGCTGAAAGCTGTTCACTGTTATATTGGACGGGAATGACTATATTTCTAAATAAGATAAACTATGAACTGTAAGAGATAGTATATGAAACCATGTAATAGTCATTTTAGAAGGTCAGTTTCCTTAATGACATCAAGGGCACTGGATTCTAAGTTGTTGGTGACATTGTCAAAATGGGGGGTGGCATACACCAGACCAAACCTCACTTCCTTCAAAGTTACTTTGTGGGGTGTGTTGTCCTCTCTTTGGATATTATTACTTGGAGGGTAGTACAGTGAATTCATCTGAGTATGGAAATGGTTCGTTCTCAACAATATCTCAGGTGCTGAAGTATAGCAAAATAAGTGTTCACTTCTTGGAGTTTATAGTCTTTTCTTTTTGGGTTTTATTTGTGCCTAATTCTTTTCTTTGCTGAAGAAAGATGACAGTGTAAAAATGCATTTCCAAACTCATCCGTTACAGGAATTTCCCTTCCTTCCTTCCTTCCTTCCTTCCTTCCTTCCTTCCTTCCTTCTTCCTTCCTCCCTCTTTTCTTTTCTTTTTTCCTTTCTTTTCTCTTTTCCTTTCTTTTCTCTTTCTTTCTTTCTTTCTTTCTTTCTTTCTTTCTTTCTTTCTTTCTCTTTCTTTTTTTTTTCACTTTATAAATGATCAATTCTGTTACCTCAGGCTGAGGGCAAAGGGAGGTGACTGTATTACACAAGCCCAAGGGCCAAGGTTACCTGGTGGAAGCTAGAACCATAGTAGATCTGTCTAGTCATAGCTGGAGCCCCTACCCCCACCCCCAATTGCCACTTTCACTGCCTCAGGCAGACAGGGAAGGAGAGAAATCCTCTACTTTCTCCTTTCTTCCCAATCTTCAGTCTTCCACCTTTGCTTCTATTTGCTGAACTTTGGAAGTCAAGAAGCCCAACCTAGCAGAGGGCAATCTTTCTGCATAGTAAAGCAGAGAAGAACAAGGAAGGAGCAAGAAATGGGTCTGAAGACAAACAGAACCAGGACTGTGAGGTCTGGAGAAAGAGCTGACATAAGCCTTCATTTTCTTTCTTTCTTTTTTTTTTATTGATATGTAATTGGTATAACATTAGGTTTAGGCATACAAAATAATAATTCAATATTTGTATAGATTGGAAAATGATCATCAGAATAAGTCTAGTAAACATCTAACACCATACATAGTTACAATTTTTTTTCTTGTGATAAGAAATATAAGATCTACTCTCTTAGCAATTTTCAAGTATGTAATACAGTATTATTAACTATAGTCACCATGCTATATATCACATCCCCAGGACTTGTTTATTTTATAACTGGAAGCTTGTACCTTTTGACCCCCTTCACACATTTTACCCACTCCCCACCCATAGGTTCTGGCAACCACCAACCTGTTCTTTTTATCTATAAATTTCGTGGGGTTTTTTCCCCCCAATTTCATGTAAGTGAGATCATATAGTGGTTGTTTTTCTGTCTGATTTCAAACATAATGCCCTCAAGGTCCATCCATGTTGTCTCAAATGACTGGATTTCCTTCTTTTTATGACTGAATAATATCCATTGTATATAGTGCATATTGTATATGGGAACTTTAAATGGGAACATTAAAGCTTTAAATGGGAACAATAATGGTATCTACATTACTGTGAGAAATAAATGAGAGTATACACTTATATGGTGTTCATATGTACAGATGCCTAGATGGTATTTTATTATACTGTGTCAGCAAAGGGAAGGGGATGACAGAGACAAAGGGAGCTTGCAAGGTAGTCAGGGAAACACAAGGGAGTGTTTGTGTGTACATATATATTGTACATATACAATGTAATTACACGTGCATATACATACCACATTTTATTTACCCATTCATTCACTGATGGACACTTAGGATTCAAGCATGCATTTTCAATTTGACATGTTTAATAAGCACTCAATTTACATTTTAAAAGATGATTAGAAGTTATAATCTATAAACTTTTTATGAAAAGATTTAGGCACTATGGCACTTCCCTTTATATAAGAAATAGTATATTCTGCTTCATTTCAGCATATCTCCAGGAATACACCTAATGTAAGCAACTGCCTTGTTCTAAACGTCCCCACCTTATTTTAGCAGAGGAGATTTGGCTAAGATGCTGTATACATGGCAGTTATGTAGAACCAAGTTCTGCATTGAGATTCTTCCTAGAAACATACACATATACTCTTTCATAGTTCTTTTATAGTTTGTATACAAAGAACTTTGTATCCTCTGGTTAAGAATGCATAACTACAAATGACAAAAGACTCTATGCACTTGTATAACTAGGAACTAGGAAGACCACAGGTAGTTTTTAGCTTTGTACTCCAGGGATTCAAATAAAATAATCAGTAATATCTCCTCTCTCATATTTTCTCTCTCTCTCTCTCTCTCTCTCTCTCTCTCTCATTGTCTCTCTCTCTCTCTCTCCTCATCTCTCCCTTTAGCTTTTCTTTTCCTGCATAGGCTTCACCTGAGGGGGGGGGTGCTTCTTTTATTTGGCATCAGATGGCCCCAGTGGCTTCAAGCTTACATGGGCCTTGGCATTTGTGTGTACTCTCTGAGATTCTCTGATGACCTGACAATTAAGAATTCTGGCTGTAGAGTTGGGCAGCCTGGGTTCAAATCCTGCTTCTTCTCTTAACATCTGTGTAACATCAGGTAAGGTATTAGACTTCCCTGTGCCTACATTTCCCAAGCTTTAAAAGGGAACAATAATGGTATCTATGTTACTGTGAGAAATAAATGAGGGTCTCTACACATAAATGATGTTTATGTGATGCCTATGTGATGTTTTATACTGTGTCAGCAAAGGGAAGGGGATGACAGAGACAAATGGGGCTTGTAAGGTAGTCAGGGAAACACAA